CACACACACACACACACACACACACACACACACACACACACACACACACAGATTGCTCCCCTGTTCCAACTGACAATGATCCATCCACCCTCTGCTCATTTGATGGAGCCCCCAACTGGAGATGTTCTCTCTCCGGAACGCATGCTGGAGGAACCTGACAGAACCAACCACAATGAACCTCCCCCCACGATCGGCAGAATTAAATGAACCTCCCCCTGCTCTGCAATCTGCAGAATCAAATGATCTCATAGCGCTACAGAGAGGCCACTGTGTGTACTATGCCATTGATGTGCTCTCCTTGCTTATAAGTGCAGCCTCTATACTGTTTCTGATTTTGAAGACAATGACATTGTCTGCTGGATGGAAGAAGAGCACCGTGCTGTCTGCCCAAAGGATGACAGTACTGCGCCTGGTGTGAACATAGAAGTCCTGTCTATGGCATTTATGGGAAGGTGACTGCAACTCTGGCCCGCTCATTACATGCGAGACATGAACCCAAATATTTGTGCGTACATCCTGCATCTTCCAGGTGACTTCAGTGATGTTACCTTTGCAGATAATTCATGGACATCATGGGACAATGGCGGCAGGGTGCACTCGGTCCGAAACATTAACTCTTTTTATCACCGAGTGATAGAGTCCCGCTCGCTATGGGTGGTCAATCAGGAACAATATGTAGATGCCGGACAGATTCTGCAACGAACAGTGAAGGGACCCCTCCAGAGGACGGTGGCTGTGCCATGCCATTGTGTCTCCACACAGCTAAAGTTCGGTTATCATGCACACAACAAAATCTCTGCTCCGAAAACTATGAAGGGATGGTCACTGCCAGCCTCTGCTGCGAAAACTGCAACCAGTTGTCTTGCACTGATCCCCCCCCACCCCCTTATTACTTGCCCGATATGCTGTTGTGGCCTTGACGTGCCATGCTTAAATAACTGCGAACGCCAGCCTGCTTTCCTGTTGTCGTGTCAGCAACATGCAACGTGTCGTCAATGTTTCCAGGAAGCTGTCATTGAAAATATGTGTCTCTACTGCACGGACTATCCCCGATGCCATCACCCGGCACATTCTCTCCAAGCATGTCCCACATGCAGCGTTGGGCATACACCTGCTGCGACTGCAGTTGGATCTCCTTCATCCTTGCCAGACAAACACCAGACGCAGCAGCCTGAGGTGGAAAATAGACTCTCACATGAACCACCTACCGCACACTGTACTCAAAATGTTATCGGCGCCAGGGTGAGCTCTTGTGGACCAAATCTTGGAACCGCAAAACACCCTTACTACAGATCAGTCCCCGTCGTCACCTGCCCATAGAGAGGGAATAGTGACTACAGAAACTCGAGAAACTTGCTCAGTGCCATTGTGTGATGGCCCACCTGAGATTCGGCTAGCATGTGATTCACATGCTTTGTGCCATGAGGATTATGAAGGCATAGCCCATGCAAGTTTTTGTTTCCATACATATGATGACAGTCAACACTGCACTCATGCACGACACCCTGACATGTCATGTCCAATTGGTAGACGGGCTGGAACGGCAATGCCTATACAATTGCAGTGGGCGTGCCTCTGCGTTCCTAGCATGTAGAAGCCACATATATGTCGTGCCATTCCATGCAGCAACTGCAACTGCAAGAATTAGATGCGGTGCTTCCACAGTCCACACCCGAATTGGTCCTGTCCGCTCTGTAGGGGTGGCCACTTACCATAGGCAACGGCTGCTCCTCAACTCGAAATTCCCTGCAACCCCAGCACAAACTGGCCTCTTGTGCCATTCTGGAGTAGTCTGCTCCACTGGTGAGTATTGAGACCCCTCCGAAGTTTGTTTTTTTCCTCTGTTCTGTTCTTTGCCTCTCCACTTCCCTCCTCTTCCCCTTCTCCCTCCCCCACCCCTCACTTCCTATAGAACTCCACCCTGTACCCCTTTCCTTCCCCCCTCCTCTTGTGTACCACTAGTAAAGGCATACAGATGAGCATCGTTAAGAGAACAGAAGATATAAGCTGAGGATCTGAAGAAAAACGAACAGGAGTATACCTCCCACTTAACTCTGCCTCCTTTCATAGCTTGCAAGGGGGTCGTTATGGCACACGGGGATGCAGGTAGCTTGCGCTCAACCACAATCAACGTGGCGAGCCTTGCACGTGAAAGGCACCGTAAAAGGAGAGCTGCAAGAGCACATGAAAGGGGTACCCAGAAGAAAGCCGAGGTAAAGACAGGCAAGAAGGGGATACTAACGGATTATTGTGCTTCACGTTGCTTGCTTTAGAGGTAGTTGTTGGACTGGCTCATCTCGAGTGCACTTCATTGTTTGCAATGGAAGTAAAGCTGCTTCGATTCTGGATCTACTCATCTGGGTGGAACAGGGGCTGTTGTGGTAAGAATCTACACACACACACACACACACACACACACACACACACACACACACACACACACACACATTCTTGATGCTGGGCAGATTTTCACCATAAAAATCACTGTGGTTCAATTCTGCGCAGTGTCACGTTGGCACCTTCGACCCCGTGGATCCGCACTTACGACAGAAAGAAGCACATGGCGAGCAGATTACCAACCAGCCATTCCTTAAGCAGCGTCACATTGGTCTGAGTACCAAGGTGGTGCCAAGTGCTTCTTTCCATCTTTCTAAGCAGCTGGTTAAGAGAGCAGCAGTGAAAGGCTTTTCAATGATGAATACACGTCTTTCTAAGCTCAATACTCCCACAGGTCAGAGGTACCAGTGTGCCATGTGCTTCTTTCCATCTTTCTAAGCAGCTGGTATGTGACTTTTTTCCAAGAAACATTGGCAGAAGCAACAGAGGCTGGCAGATTTTCTGCTCTGCTTGCACACGCTAATCATCACAGCTGGCACGAGAATCTCTTTCTGACCTGATGTCAAGTGTGGCATACTGCGTAGCCACACGGGCCCTGCAGGGCCAGTCCCGGACATTCAGCCTAAAAGCCTAAAACTTAGGGCTTACAGGCCCCAGTCGTTTCAGCCTGAAAGCTGAAAAACGAGGGCCTGCAGGCCCTACCCCGTTTCAGCCTATTTCTGGGTCAGACCCAGAGTTTTCAGCCTGAAACGGAGGGCCATTTTCAGGCCCTCATTGTTTCGACCTGCCCCTAAGACTCAGGCATGTAAACAGGGATGCGGAACAGGCCAAGAATAGCCTGTTCCTCACGTGCTCGAGCAGGAGCTGCAGCTGCMGCCCCTMCCTGCCTTCRGCATTGGCAAGAGCAGCCTCCTGGACTGCTCGCACGAGTCAGGAGGCACACCCGAGAAGTACATAGGACTGTCCTAGGCACTTCACGGGTAGGTAGTGTCGGTAGGCACGGGTAGTCTTCAGGATTCGGCCGCAGCACTCAGGAGGAGCGCTGCAGTAGTCTCCAGCGCTAAGTAGTAGTAGCGCTAGCTGTAGTCTTCGGCGCTGGGCGCCATAGCCATAGAGTAGTCTTCAGCGCTGGGCACTGGTAGGTGGTAGATCGTAGAGTGGGAGAGAGACTGGCGGAGGCCAGTGGTACTTACCTGTGGCGCCATCGCTCCAGCTCCATCTTCGTGGTACCTGCATCAA